ATACTTTTTCCAGCACCGTATTTTCCCCACTTTAAACTACAGCAGGACGCGATGTTTGAGACGGCAACGTTCAATGAGACTGAAAAAAAAAAAAAAAACCTTCAAGATTCCTTCAGAGGGTTTTGATCTGCTTATTTATTCAACATCTTTCACATACTTTGGTTTATTCATATTCTTCTATAAAAAATACATGAAAAAAACTGACAAGCATTTGGAGTCCAGTGTTTTGTTTTTCTTTTCCTCAAGCCACATTGACATCCGTCTGCATGGAGACGTTTCCCTGCTCACTTTCAGCCGCAAGCAGGAAATAATCAAGAGCTAAGGAGATGCAAGTACATTAAGAGTGGAGTTAACAGTCTTTTTTAGGCACTGACGTCCCACAGCAGGACTCGTGATGAAGAACATGTCACTTCCTCATTTGCTGCTTGGATGGAGTTTAAGACTAAAAAATTCACATCAGCACTTACAGTGAAGTTGAAAAAAAAAAAAAACTAGCTGCAAACTTACAACGGGTTTAGGAGTTACTAGTGTTACCGGGATGAACGGGCTACAATGATTTGCAGAAGTGTTGTCGAACAGATATTGAAATCATATCCTGAAAGGGGTTCTGATGCAGTAACAGAACCAAACGCAGATTCTGATTCATTTGGTCCCATAATGCTTGGTTGAAGACTGGCCGTACAGGCCGTAGAAGTCAGGGTGCCTGGAGGTTTGCGACGCATCCATCAGGCCCCTGACGGGAAAATGCTGCAAGGTCTGACTCGCAGGAAGAGGGGCGTGCGGGGGGAACTCCTGAGAGGGGAAGGTATCCGCCGCCGGGTACGGAGGCTGGGCGCGGGAAGCCGGCGCTCGGGAGCAGCAGCAGTTATTCAGGGTGCACATCAGCACTTTCCTGCTCTCGTACATGGATTGCTGCGACGCTCCTCCGCTGGGGAAGTGGGACGATGGGAAAAGGTTTCCTGAGTGGTGGCTAGAGCTTGACCCCAGGCCCACCATGTGATGCGCCGCCGAGTCGAGGAGGCGACCGGAGGTGTGGGGAGTCTGGGGGAGGACCTCGGAGGAATACACAGAGGAGGAACGGTGGCTCTGCTCAGTCAGGAAGGGCTTTTTGCTGCTGTAGATTAAATGCGAAGGATCCTGCGAAGAGGAGTTTTCCGAGTTACTCTCCAGGAAAGCCATGCTGTATTTCCTCTTCTGCAGGCCTGAACTCATTCCCAGTTGAGAACCAGCATGGCTGCTGTGAGACTGGACGATCTCAAGAATGGACGCTTGATTAAACGGCTCTGGAAAAGTTAAACAGGCAAACTTTTAATAGGTTACACTCATCCATTCATTAGTTACTCGATGCGTCTCCTGCCTACCTTCGAGCATTTTTCGCAGGTTCTTCTCTCTCGTCGAGAGGTCGGATAAAAAATGATGAGAGTTGAGCTGGCCTACTCTGAGGGCAGGGAGGGCCCCACTTAGATGCGAGTTTAACCTGGAAGAAAAACACCCAAATAAAATCCACAACTGACAATAATGTGGATAAACCTGCAGGAATTCCTAGTTGGGGCACACTTAAACTATTATCCACATTCAACAGTGTTCCATTTGGGGTCATCTAGGTAAGTGAATGGTTAACTCTGCAAGATTAAAGGTGATGTAATTCATTAACACTCTGTACCTTTACCTCTACGAGGCCAGCATCAGCAGTACAGAGTCCCACACAGAACAGGATAACCCACGCAAAGTGTATAAACCAGATTTAATAAATCTACACCACAGGTGTCAAACTCAAGGCCAGGGGGCCAAATCTGACCTGCCGAAGCTCTTTATGTGGCCCTCTAGGCTACAAATTATACCAATAAGTCCTTCCAGTTTTTCAAAAATCTGCAAAACTCACACAAAAGTCAACAGATCTCCACATTTTGTTCTGATTTTACTGCAAATTTTCTCAAAATTGGTCAAAAACATGGAATTTGTAATTGATATGGCGAGTGATAAAAAAGTCACACATTAGCGCAAATATTGTAAAAATTTCTTACAAACATTTCTAAATTAGCACCACAAAATCTGTAATTTTGATGGCAAAAAACACTAAAACGATTGCAAAATCCTGGAGGAACAGCTATTTATTGATATTTTAACTGTTTAATTGGTTTAATCTATATATTTTGGTACAACCGGCCCTTTAAGAACATCCAGATTTTTGATATGGCCCAAAATGAAAATGAGTTTGACACCCCTGATCTACACAGTCATTAAAACAATAAACAATTGTTCATACACTATCAAATATGCCTGCACTACTATATATGGAGTTACATCTGGAAACACAGAGGAAGCAAAACACAAAATGATTTTTTTTTATTTTAATGAGACTTTAAGCTGCTTCCATTCACTTCTGCACATGGTAATTTGCTACAGTGAAGAGGTAAACCAGGCTTGCCAAAGAGTATCATTACATTCTTGGGTGGGTTGCTGGGGTTTTAGGTGAACAAATTGCTGCTATCAGACATTTCTTTTGACTTCTTCTTTTGTGTACATGTCGGCATAAGAATATTCGCCTTTTGAGCTGAATCTGGAGTTCAGAGAGATAATCTGATGCCATCACTAATTTAGCCATGTGGTGCAATGGGTGTTCCATATGTCAGCTTTGGCTGTGTTTCTTCCACACTATATACATTTCTCCATTTGGACAGGGATTTTACTGTAACCATTGTGTGCTACAAGCCCAAACACAAAACAAGTGTGTTGCCTTTCAAAGTAATGCAAGAAAAAAAAATTACATACTGGCACCTTGTAACAATTTTTTAGTGCTTCCCTCAATCAGAATGATCTTATTTCTGCTTTGCAGCACACTAAACACTACTCTGCTGTTGCAGTCCTTTCTCTGCATGCAGCTGTTTAAACCCCCTCAGCTTGGATGCAAGCAATGATTTTTATATCTAAAGTTCACTGCCAAAGGAAGAAGTCAATAGCTGGCTCAGCTGAAGTAACATACTAAATATAGTGCTGCTTTTCAATTACTCAATGAATCACATGTAACTGTCAAAGGCTCCCTCTTAGTTTTCAGTTACCAAGATACAAACGTTTATGTTTTATCACATTTTAGATTGGAATTAAATTAAAAAAAAACTGGTTCCCTAAATAGACACCTACCTATCCATCAGTAGCTGGTAAGGTTTGGTGTTCTGAAAAAAAATAAAAAAAAATCCAAAGGTCATTAAAGCCCAAAACATGTCAGAATATCAACAATATAAAAAAGCGAAAGGAGAAGTTTTGATTTGTACCTTCATGAAGTTTAAACTCTCTGTTCTCTGACAGAAGGACTGAACCGAGCTCAGGAGCTTCTCTGACTCCTGCCGCTTCTCGTTGAGCTGCAGGACCTGCTGCGAGTTCTTCCTCGCATACATGGTGTAAGTGCTCTCCAGCATCTGCACAGTCTCCGCTTGGTTTGCCTCAAGCAGCGCATACATCCTCTGATACTGAGCTCGGACACGCTCCTTCAGCTCGCACACAGCCTCCTGTGGGGAAAGGCATTCATAAACAAGCGCGCATGCTATCAAAGCCCACCATTGACTTTGTCGACGGGCATTTTACCAAATAAATGCAAACAACTTCTGGAACTTCTGGAAAGTTTTTTTGTTTTTTAAGAAGAAACAGTAAAAAAAGAAGAAGAAAAAAAGGAACTCGGCTGCTATAAGCTTCCTGTATTCTCAGAAGTGAATTAGGCAAATGTTTTACAAAATATACTTTCCTTCATGCAGAAGCTATTGTAGATGTGCATTTATTTGTAGCATGTATATAGAGACTCCGCTGCCCTGCCCTGTAGCATGAATCAACTTTTATTTCTATGTTTTTGCATCAAACATATTTTGCTCCCTTTGTTACTTAGACAAAATTATCAAAATGCTAATTCTGGCATCCCAAGATGAAGTTGAGTTGTTCTATTTAATATTTTACTGGAATGGTCAATAAGTTATCATAAGGTACAACAATGAACATTCGTTATACGAGACAGTTCTTTTGTCCAGTGAAATGGATAAGGTGTTTTAAAAAACCTTAAAAGTATCAATTGGTTTTAGCTAAGATAAACGCTGAGGGTAAAGGTCTGTGAATTTGTCAGACATCATAGAATTAAGTTTCCATTTAGCTCATTGGCTGCATCACATTACATCACTTTGTTGTTAAAAATCAACTCCCTATTGGCTTCATAAGCAGTGTGTGAAGTAGAAATATGACTTGAAGATAGTACATGTGCTGTCTACACTGCTGTAGTTTAGGTGATCAATAGTTAATAGGCGTCACCCAGAATTATTCTGCAATATCTGTTCATTTTTGAAAAAACAATAATCCTCAAAATTAATACAAATCCACTCTTTTTATAAAGGTTTTATTGGCTCTAGTGGCCTTTATTTGATAGCAAATTGATAGGAAAGCGGGTAATGAGAGAAGGGGGAAGACATGCGGCAAAGGTGACCAGGCCGGGAATCGAACCTGTGACGGCCATGTCGAGGACTAAGGCCTCCATATGTGGGTTGTGCTTAACCCCTGCACCACCACAACACCTCACAGCCACTCTTCTTTATGATTACAAACTCAATGGTAAGGTGTAATTCCATCATATGAAGACATTTTTACTGATACACTATCTGACTGATTTGACTTTAATAACAACTGGAGCTGTTTGAGACATGGACATTTTGAAGCAGAGGAAAAAAGGTAACGTTGCTTTTACAAAGCACACAAAATTTGACCCCAAAGCCATCGATCCGATTTTAGCCCAGTCTAAGTTTCTGTGCGGCGCGTGCTGTGCTTCACCTTCAGAAGGGTTTTATCCGAGTCCAGCTTGCTGAGCTGCTCATCGATGTTCTGAACACGACAATCCAGTCTGTCTTGCTGCCTCATTAGCATGGCCTGTTGAGAGAGAGAGAGAGACAAGGATCAGAGAGTCGAAGCACAACAGGATGCACTAAAAACACAAAGACAATGATATATAGAGACTCCGCTGCCCTGACCTCAGCAAACCTCAGATAACCATGACTTCCTCCACAACCCCGATTAGTCAGGGGAAACAGCTGCCCGCTGTAGGCACGTGCAATTACCCATTAGGAGGGAAGCGGCAAAGGCAAACACGACTGCACAAATCTATTTCTGATTGCTCCAAGGTTTGTGAGGGACCCTGTAACGATAAATGCAGCCCATTGTTGCGATCAGTCAACCTCCTTTCTCTTCAGGGCAAAATCAAAAAGAGCTGCAGGAGCCAAAGGCCAGCGAGAGAGCTAGTAAACATAATCTCCCTCTATTTACAGCAGGAGATAGAAATCAATCTGCAGACAGAAGCCGACATCAGAGCAAGAGCAGAGGAGGGCAGGTATGCTTTTTAATGAACCGTTTCTGCATGGCAAAAGGCACCGTGAAACCCTCGCTGTCAAGGCAACAAGGCCTTGCCTATGCATTTATATGTCAGATATATTTCATACGCAGGGGGAGCAAAAGCAGCACCACCTCTATGCTGTTTAATGCTGCTTTATGCGCATTACTTCCTACACTGGCGTCTGTGTGTGCATGCATGTCAGGGTTCAACTAAAGATAGGGTGCAAAAGTGCACAATGCAAAATATGACTTTGATAACGGCGAGCATAAGACCGAGACTGAAAGCGAGCAAAGAAGGAGAAGGAGAACGAGGACATTCCTTTGACCTCTTGAGGGAGTTTCATGGTTGTTACATTAAGGTATCTGAGCAACAGGACTCTTCAGCTGCTGACAACACTCATACTGAAAGCAGGAGCTGATATTTTAACACCACATTACACAGACCAGAGCCAGCAGACTCAACTGGTTTTAAACAGCTATAAGAAAAAAGGTTAACACTTTATTTGAAGGGGGGGTGAATAAGACTGTCATGACACTGTCATAAACGTGATATAACACCTGTCATGAACATCAATAAGTCTTCATGAATATTTATGACTGTTGTCATAAAGTGCCATTCGGTAAATCATGACACTTTTAATAGAAAGTTGACATTATTCAAAATGTCTTTGTTATGACAACTTGTCATTAACCAAGACATCATGATCTGACATAAATTTGTTATAAAAGTATTTGGGTATAAAAACTGGTGTTAGATCTATTTATTTACTAATAAGCTTCTTGCAAACAACCCTAAGTTAGAGTATCTGGTTAGAAATAATTTAGAATGCTCATTAAGTAAAAAGATGCATTCATGTGCCTGAAACTATACATTAAATGAAGCAATCTGAATAACAACAGTGACAGTCTGTCTGAACTTCTGCCAGACAAATATTTGATCAGAATAATTTTGTTCAGCTCCAGTTATTCCACTTGTATTAAGAAATAATTGTATTGCACTTTATAACAACCATGTTAACTAGGCATTTGTCTGCCAGTCTACCATTCTGACAATGTGCAGCAAGGGACATTTTTGGAATGGTATTTAAATAAATGCTGGAATATGATGACATTGTTTTTTGTTTTTGTTCACTTAAAAAAAGTGACCACAATGAAATGAGTCATCACCGATTATGAGAATGTCCAGAAGAGATTCGCCAAGTTTGAATTCATGAAAAGGCTTTCGCCATGACTATTGCAAGAACAGCTGTAATTTCTGAGCATTTCTGGACACCTTCAAAGAGCTGCTTCCAGGAAATGAAGACAAGAAGAAGATCTCCTGTTTTCAGAGCATTACAGGAAGACTATTACGAAGGAGATGGCTGACATAAAGCAAAAAATGTTACTGTTGAAAGAACCTATTTTCTTAAGTTAAAGAATAAGTAATTCTGTTTTAGTTTTTCAATCAGCATTTCAGAGTAACAATATACTGACCAGACGTTAAACCCTCTGTTATCTTAGAACAAGTTATCTTTTGTTTTATTCCAATGTACAAAGGGTTTGTTCTACAGTTATGATGGTAGTTATAAGTAGTCCAGTGTGTTTCACTACATTTGAGGTGAGAATATCAATAACTCTGTTAGCATTGCATTTGACACTGTAATACTAAATTACATCTTTATAATTGTTGCTACTAGTTTCAATTTACTTGAGATAAAAGTTTATTAATGACACTGTAATGACACTTAATGACTTTGTCATAACTGTTGTAACTTGTTTCACTTTACTTGAGGTAACAGTTAATATTAATGACACTGTAATAACACTTAATGACATATTCATAACAGCTGCTACTTGTTCCACTTTAGTTGATGTAAAAGAAATTGTTAATGAGTCTTATTAAATCATTTGACCGTGTAATAAAGCTTGGTGAAATCTTTATTGCTTGTCCTACTTGTTTTGCTTTATTTCAGGGAGTGGAAATATTCATTGTTTTGTTAAAGCTTTTGCTAGTGTAATAATTAAATCATTATGACAAATTTATATCAGTAATGATTTCTTGGTTAATGTCAAGTTGTCATAACAAAGACATTTTGAATAATGTCAACTTTGTATTAAAAGTGTCATAAATTACCGAATGACGCTTTATGACAACATAAATATTTATATATTTATATCATAAATATTCATGAAGACTTATTGATGTTCATGACAGGTGTTATGTCATGTTTATGACAGTGTCATGACAGTCTTATTCACCCCCCTTCAAATAAAGTGTTACCAAAAAAAGACGTATATGCTTACTAAAACTATTCGTTCAGAGAAAAGCTGTTTTTTGTATAATTTTGAACCGAGAAACTAATCAAAAATCAAGAAAACAGTTAAATTAGCTCACTCTGCTCTGTTTTGATAATATTTGGATTATTTCCAGCTCACTGCTTTAGATTGTTTAATAGAAAGAAATTTATTTAAAATGTTATCCCAGATTAATTTTTAGCTCCATCGCTTCCAAAAATTTTAACCATTATAGTACAATACAATTCAGCAACCTCCAGTTTTTTCTTCCTCTCTATAGTTTCTTGTTTGACTTTCAGGTTGTCCAAGATCTTCTGGTGGTCGGAGAAGGAAAACGATAAAAATCATCACAAAATGACACCATGCTGTTGTAGGTTACCTATGCGCTTTCGGATCAACATATCCTATTGTGAAAGTTTTTTTTTCCCATCTTCTGTAATCGACATAAGACAGCAACATAATTACAAACCATCATGCAGCCACCTCAAATTAATTAGAAATAAAAACTTTCAACTTGTTTGTCTGTAATAACATGCTCTCTGATGAACTTTGTTGCTTCATTGCTCTACATCAACAAGTTCCAATGTACCTTGTAAAGCAGTGCACAAAAAATGCCTTTTTCCACATGACTTAACAAAACAACTAATCCTAAATTAGTTGGATTGTATTGGAGACAAAAAAAAATCCTTATTGGAACGTCCTTTCTCAGAAAACAAAACAAGACGTACACAATCTCAACTTTGCTTCTTGCTTACTCAGCATGCAGTTTTTGCTAAAAAAACAAACAAACAAAAAAAACCCTTCTTTTTTGAAAATCATTGAATAAAGGCTCCTATAATCATCTTTCTTTTTATGTAAGACAAATGTAACCAGCTGCTTTTTTTCCTGGTCAATTCCAGATTCACATTGTAGGGACTAACATAGACTCGTCTCCTTTTTGTATGTATTTTCTACGCCTTTGCTGCCGTCTGCCTCACAAATTACTTGACTTGAATGGTCCTGGACCGATATATATTGCATTGTTAGTATAACTATGAACCAAGTCGACCCCTTATGTCATCAGAAACCCACTCACTCAGTTTGCCCAGGACCAGAATTGAACCAGGAGAAGCAGCATTTAGTTTCTATGCTCTTCTATGAAACAAACTCCCTGAAAACCTGAAATATGCAGCAACTGTTAACTTCTTCAAATCCAGAACCAAACACATTTTTGTTCCTGCAGCTTTCAATCAAAGAATCCCACTAACAAACTGTTTTCACTAATCACAAATGAGTGGCTGAAACATGAGATCGAAGATAACAATCGTTGCTCTTGGAGTCTAATAACACCTGGCAGTGATTTGTTTTAAATTTGCATTTTGACATGTTTCCTTCGATGCAATGCTTTTCAGTGTTTGCTGTGTAAAAGCAAAGCTCAAATATTTTTCCCATTTCATTGTGTGTTTTTTTTTAGTTTTTTTTTTGAGTTCTCGTTGTGCTCTTTGGAAGTGTATAGCTGGAGCTATGCTAACATACTCGCCTGCTTGCCCTGTTTGCAGGTATTTTATAAAACTTAAAGGTGAAGCCGTTTCTTTCAAAATGGATGAGATCGTATTGCACTTTTTTGTTTTGCATTTTTGCACAAATACCGTGAAACCGCAGCGTTTCTAATCAAGGTGATCGTACAGAGGGAGAGAGACTCGTACCCATATCAGATGACTTAGCCATGAAGGCTCACATGACACCTTGTCTCTTCCAGTTTTAAGTCGCACCTTTTACACAGTATTCTGTGTTCATCAGTGGCTCGGCCTATACGTCGTATTTTCTAAAACAGCAGAAAAGCTTTGGAACAAATTATTGCTGTACATCACAATAGCTGCTTTTTCCGCATTTTTGCCCCTCAGTCATATTTCCCAAGCTTTTTCATTTTCCTTCCCATTCCCATTTTTAGCTTGCTGCTTCAAATGCAACACGGAGGCCGAGCCCGCGCAGCAGCATGAAAGCCCACCTTTATCAACCTTAAATCTGCCAATGATCACTTTTCCACGTTGTCCTATTTAAGCTTCCCGACACCAGTGGGCTACCGGGAAGCTCATGTTTAAATGAGGAGCCTCGGGCTCAATGAACAGAGAGCCTCTTTCACAATCAACAGACAAATATTCCCCACTTCTGATGTCAGTGCACTGCCCTCAGCATTCTGGGGAACTGACTCACTCCAGCTATGATAGGAGAAAATGCAAACAGCAGAGCCTCCGTGAGGGACGGTTTCCTGCCGAGGTGCCTGAGAAAAGCCAAGGTGAGGTTGTGTGGGAGGGGTCCTCCTCCGCTTGCCCCGGGGGTAACATTGCTATTATATTACTCTTCCTTTCTCATCTCAAAATTACCAACGAGTATGCGGAAAGTTACAATTATTTTCTTTTTTTTTTTTTTAAAGAAATCTCCTTAGAGAAGCAAAGACACCCAAAGATATGAACATACTGTTGCTACTTTGTTTTTTGTTTTTTTCCCCTCCTCCGTTTGCCCCAAAAGCAACAAGAGTGCTGCCAGGGGAATTTAAAGTGCTTTCACCAAAATAGACCACAGCTCCGTCAAGGAGAAAGACCTCTCAGTAAATACTGATGAGAAGCCACTCCGAGCCTCAAATTACTTTAACAAACGACGCAGCGCAGAAGAAGCCCAACATTTTGGCTGCTGGAGGAATCAAAGTGGGTGTGAGGGTCTAAGCATGGACGGCGTTAATCTGAGAGAAGCCAGGATGTCTTTTTTTTTTTTTCTTTCCTCCCTGGGAATATAAGGTTGAGAAAGAACAAAAAAAAAAAATGGGTGGGTGTGTGCATGCAAGTGTGCAGAAAGGGAGAAAAGGGAGAGAGAAAGAGCAGCTGTGGAAAGGGCTGAACAGACAGCTTTTGTCCCAATAATAGCTCAGAACCGGGGAAACGTTTTGCACAAGGGACTTGGAATAATTTGGGACTTTTTGATTTACTTTGGAGAAAAAAAAAAATGCTGTAACTTTCCCATTTGGAAATATTTCTAAAAGCATCAATGACGAGGCAACGCGGCAGACGTAAAAACGTATTTGCTTCTTACTATCTTTCCCTCGCTGATGGGACGGCTCAGGATGGGAAAGTGCATGTGGGTGGTTGTTTTTGACACCTTTCAACTTACATCAGAGTTGTGAAGTCAGAGCAAGCTGCTATAAGACAGTACTTACACTCCCTGAACAGTTTCAAGCATCTTAGTGGGGTTTTGTTTGCTGGACAATCACAAAGTACATGATTCTAAAAAAGAAAGAAAACATATATGGTCTTAAAGATGCCAAATAAAAATTTGAAGTGTGACTTTGACTAGGCCATTCTAACACGTAAACCATAACATTGTAGTTTCAGCTGATGTAGTTTCAAGCCTTCTGCAGCTTCTAACAGGTTTTCTCCAAGCAGTGTTTTGTATTCAGCTGCATCCATATTTCCTGCTGAAGAAAAACATCTGCACAGCATGATGCTGCCACCACCGTGTTTCAGAGCGAGGATGGTGTTCTCGGAGTGATGTGCAAATTCAGTTTGCTACCACATGTAGCATTCTGAATACATAACCACTCAGGAATGCACCGATATTAAAAATTGGGCTGATATCGATATCCAAAATTTATTCTGCCGCTGTGGCCGATAACCAGTCTACATTTTCCTGCACTTTAGGTTTTTAATATCTAAACGGTTTTACTTATCGGACTAATACCGATACGATAAGAAATTACCAACATTGGCAGATGCCAATGTTGATGCATATTCATGATACAAACCTAATAGAAGCACACAGCACTTTTCAGGTTTTATCTATATATATATATATATCTATATATATATATAGATATATAGATATAGATATATATATATCTATCTATCTATATTTATATAGATAGATAGATATATATATATATATCTATCTATATATCTATATATATATAGATATATAGATATATACATAAAAAAATAACCTCCCGACCCCACTAAGGGACAAGGGTGTAAAGAAAATGGACAGATGATATATATATGTATATATATACTATATGTTTTTTACTTCTGCTTCACACTTTGCACTGATTTGTGTTGGTCTATTGCTTAACATAAATGTTTTTGTCTTGTAACCAGACAAAACGTGGAAAAATTCAAGGGGCTGTAAATACTTTTCCAACACACTGTATCCCAGCCGCGACGGGCTGGTTTATGTGAGAACCTCCAAGCACCTCCCAGCCTAAGGTCAACCCTGCCAAGACAAATCATAACTCATTCGTTAACAGTTTGCTGCCAGATGATCGCTTCCTGCAGCATCTGCTTCCCACCTTTCTGTGTCTCTCCTTTCGAAAACGTCTCGCCCGGGTTCAGCCGAGAGCCCACGAGGGGAGATGAAACGCTAAATTATCGGAAGCGTTATTCATAACGAGCCGCTTTAAATCAAGGCGGCTGGTATTAACCAACACACGAGGATCTGCCCCACCCTCCCCCCGCACTGGGGTCGTCACTTCCGGTGGGTGCCGACTACATTGCAGCACTTACCCGAGGGCGCAGTGCTGCTAATGCAAAGGAGTGGACCTCCTCGATGTGCGGTGTGATCAAGGTTAAAAGTGTGTGTGTGTGTGTGAGTACTTTTATCTGCTTAGAAGCACAGCTTTTTCCCCCCTGTCAAATCAGATTAAAAGACGACATAAAGAGAAAATATACTTTTGCCAGTCGAACTAGAAGAAAATATTTCCCGCACCGACGTGTTTTCTCCATCTTAGAGCGAACCACTGTAAGTAGGTGTGATTTATACCTGCATTTGCACGCGCTGTGTGTCCACATCGCACACCGTGTGTCTTTGGTTCGTGCAGTGGGAGATGTAGCAGAAGGGGCACAGAGCCACCTGCTCCACCTCACAGTGGAGCAGCCTGTATTCCTCGTGAGTGGGACACGTCCAGGCGCTCAGCTCTTCGATGTCTACCAACAGGTGTCCCGGCGCCGGGCACGGCTGCTGCAGGTGCGTCTGGACGTGGGTCTGGCAGCAAGGCTCCTTGCAACGCAGGCACACTTTTCTCACGGGCAGCGGGGGGCCTCGTCTGCAGAGGACACAGTGCAGCACGGCGGGGGCTTTCTCCGCATTCAGAGCGTTAAACCGCTTAACGATGTTGGCGAGCTTAAAGTTCTTCTCCAGCGCTGGCTTCTGGTCGTAGTCGTGGTTGCACTCAGGACAGCGGACCGCCGCGCTTTCCTTGGCCCAGGCCTCAGAGATGCAGCCTTTGCAGAAGTTGTGCTTGCATGGCAACTGGATTGGCTCATCAAAGACATTCAGGCATATAGGGCAGAGAAGCTCCTCCTCGAAGCAGTTTTTCCAACTTGCATCCATAGCTTCGGTGGAGATCCAAACTGATGGTGTACAGCTGGGAGGGGGAAAAAAAAAAAAAAAGAGTAGCAGAGTGATTTAGTTTCCAGAAGATCACATGGAAAGATAAGAAAAAGTTATTAATTGTCAGGCAGCATCTAGTGTTACAATAGTAAAACAGGGAAGGGCCTTAAGAAGTGGTAAACATCAATGGCCACTCTGAGTTTATTAAAACTTTTATTCATTCTTAAAAATGTTTGTGTCCTTTATAGCACTACACTTGTAATCATCTCTACTAGCTCTACTGTTCGCAGAGTACTGTTTCCAAACATATTAGTAGAAAGTTCAGTGTAGAAAAAAAAAAAAACTGTAGCAGAAAAAGCAACACTATCTCCTAAGCCACTATCTTCAGAGGAACCCACTCAAGAGACTGGGGAAGGGGAGAGATTTACAAAGTATGAACAGCACGGCCATCTTCAACGAAATTTTAAGGCATACTTATTTTATCTGGTTATCAGCCTTTTGGAAATGCGGATTTCATTTTCCAGCTGGACTTGGCACCTGTCCATACTGCTGAATCCAGCGAGACGTGATTTAATGACGACAGTAGCAATATTCCTGAACTGCCAGTTAACTTACCTGAACTAAATAAAACAAGAGAGATCTATGATTTATCAAGGAGAATGTGAGAGGTACCCAACTAAACCATGCAGGCGAGCTAAAAACCCCACGCTCCCTTAGCACTTTAGCAGAGACACAGGCCGATCGCCTACATTCAGTAATACATGCAGTAATTCATGCAAAAGAAAACCCAACCAAGTGTTAAGTGCAGACATACTAATACACTGACATAATTTTCAGTAGGGTGAAATTTCTGTATTAAGAATACTTTTTTAAATGGCTCTGATGAAAAATTCAAATTTCCTAAAAATATGATAATTTTGCATTTGCCGTAAGCCACATTTATCTAAACTGACAAAAATAAACACACACAAAAAAAATGTATTGCTCCAATTTTTCACTCAATTACAAGAATAAATTTACGTTTTTGTTGTGATGCACCTGCATACGACAGAAAAGCATAATAAAACTCCTAAAACTCTGTTCGGATTTGGTGGACCACCTCAAAATTATTAAAGCCCCCCTCCCACCCCCATCTGGCCAGTCCGACTGAAAACTTTCTGGAGACGCCCCTGGGCACAACAGGGGCAAGCAGGTACACAGATCTCATGTTTCTGAAGCAGCGGAAGAGAAACAAAGTGATTTTAGAGTGAACTTCATAAATCCTCCATATGAATCTGAGTGTGATCTGATCTGTTCACCAACAGGGCCACACACGCTGTGGCGTTTAAAAGCGAGTGACAACTTGCTGCTGCTGAGAATTTGACTCCTCTCTGGTTGTTACACTAAGCTACGCTGACATTTTAATTACACGCTGTAATTTGCCGTTAAATGAGCTTTAAAGCATGAGTGTATTTCTGCGGAAGAGAACGACGTTACCAACTATTTATTGTCCATGTCGTCGGCAGACTCCGGTGCTCCTAGAATAAAGCCGAGGAGCTTGTCATCCAGCCCGCGATGAAACCCAGCGCTCTCCGGTTAGATTACAGCCGTCTGTCCGACGCAGCGCCCCGACGCCGGGCTTTTAGGACATTCCCAGCTGCTTCTGTCGACTGTTTCGCTTTCCCGTCAACTCTCTGAGTAAGGTTTTACTGTAAGCAGAGGCAGACGGTGACTGGTCGGAAGAGAGCACGGTGCTTTCACACCGACTCCAACCCCCAGCTCCGACACACCGTGACCCGTCACAGAGTTGACACACAGACGGGGAGGAGCCGAGAGGAGGAAGGGAAGGCGAGGCGAGCAAAGGAGCGGACACAGCAAACTCTACCGGACACACTGCAGAAGACCGGTGTGACCCGCCCGGGAACATGCTTTACATCCGAACCGGGAGAGGGCACAGCGGAGGCCCTCGGGGGCCCATGCGAGGGTCCGTAAGCAGGGAGGAAATGTGGGGAATAAATAAATAAAAATAAACTGTGAAAACACTTCTTTTCTTTGAAAGTTTTTAACAATGAACTGGAGTGCTCGTAAATATATTTGCAGGTTAAAACTACTTTACGTTTTTAGGTCCAGTTGCGATTACTGCATGAAAAATTATCCTGGACTAGTTCTTCTACCCCCATCCTCTGTGCTCTACAATAATAATAATAATAATAATAATAATAATAATAATAATAATAAAAATAAATACATTTTTGCGGTGTAACTTATTTTTTATTCTTTTTCAGTTACGCTCAAAATTATTCATTGATTTAGGTTTAAAGTGATCTTTTCCTGTTAGCAAGATGTTTCATTGACTGGAAGTAATAACTTTTCTGAACTGCTCAGCCAACAGAGGGCGATGACATTTTCAACTTTAAAGAGTTGAAGTTCATCGCCAAATATAAATAATCCACCAATTACTGAGAAAGGTATAAATAAACCATTTTTGACATGTCATCTTTGCAGAAGAATATCAATGATTTTTTTAACCCCCAGAACTACTTGTCCTTTTAGATATATTTATCATTTTGAAAGACGTGCCTATTTCAGATCCTATCGGAAACAACCTTCTTGAGTCAATGAAAATCATTTTAAAACCAAGTCTAACTGAGGTATGAGTAAGTGTGAGTCTAACTGTAATAAATTCACCAAAATTCTTAATCATATTAGCAAAAATATTTTTAATCTGTTTATAGTAGCATAATCAATTTGTGGTTTGACTAGTCTATGTATTTGTGAACTAGAGATGATCAAGTGCTAGTTTCAGCTTTACTAGACACTCACATTGCATCGCAGCTTATTCTGTACAGTACATAGGAGTGACCAGCCATGGATAGAAGAAAAGCAATAGGAAGTAGACTGATAGCCTTTTTTTCCCCCAATTAGGTCCAGTGTTTGGTATTTACCTAACATTGATGTGTGACAAAAAATAAAAAAAGAAGCAAAAACAGAGGACACTTGAAAGGGAACAAGTACTTTTTCAAAGAACTTCAGAAAATAAGTTTAACAGAGCAGAAACGTCTTCATACGTTAGGATTTATTGATCCAGTCCATTAGATTGCATTTGTCTGTATTTAGAAGCTGAACTTCCACCCACAGTCTCAATCTTTCTGCTGGCTCTAACAGCTTTTGTTCCTGTTTTTAGCTCCGTCCATCTTCCCATCAACTCTGACCAGCTTCTCTGTCCGTCCAGGACAAAAAGCCCTCCCACAGCTTCCTGCTGCTACCACCATGTGGATGACGTGTTCCTGGCTATAGAGATAAGCTGCAAGCTAGGTCTTCTTGTGAATTTCTTTTTTAAACCAGTCACTCTCTTCTTGTCACTCTTACATTAAGTCAGTAGTTATGATAATAACAGTTGCTCTGTCACCAGACTCAACCTTTACTGTGGGCCTCCTGGTTGATTGCCAAGCTTGTAGGTTCATGGGTAGGTTTAATGGTAACATTCATTCTGTCTAAGATAATACATTCAGAAGTGCTGACTGAGATGCTCAGAGCTTGGAATATTATTTCCTAACACTGTTTTGTAACTTTTCCACAACGTTAATCTTGCCGTTTTCTTTGTTCATCATGATGCTGCTTGTTCCCTACTAGTCCCTTTAGATTTTTTTTTTTTTTACTTATTCGTTTTAATTCCCAGGTTTCCACAACGTTTTTTTGTTGGTTCAGCACATAAAATCCCAGTAAAACACATTGGAAAATTTTGGATTTTGCAAACCACTGTAAGAGTTATTCTGTCTGGAGGTTTTCTTTCAAACAATGAAAACAAGAATGAGATCATTTAAAATCCATTTGCAGAAGCTAGTTCCTTGTTTCACTTAGTGTCTGGCAATCCCCCTGCAGTCAGTCTGAACCTGAAACCTAATTAAAACTAAACACGCAAGTTCATACAGCAGAGCTTAATAAAAAGTGCAAACTAATTTGCACTCATTAATATTCTCCACATCTTCTGTCACTACTAATCCTACATAAATAAATTACTACCAACACACTTTTGCATTTTTTTTTATTTTCTTGCATACTAAGGATTGTTATTCATAAACTGTCAAAGGCAGTGACAACACTGTGTCCAGTATGAGCATTCAGACACATCCAACCGCTCACAACAACCGAGATCCACAACACTTTTCAATCAGTGATCCTGATTTATTTGTGCAATAGCTACACTCTTTAATGCACTTAAGATTACAGCCAGCCGGTTCACTCATAAAAAAAAAAAGACATTCAGCATCTAAACTTTTCTTTCATTCTGAATGATAAAAAAAAAAACATAAATATGCCATCACATGCTGCATGAGAGTACTTATACAGTTAAGACATCACCAAAATATGCTGTTTTTACATTTCCGTGTAGATGGGGGAATGTGTTTTTTTTTTTTTAAACAATCAGGTGCTGTATATAAACGGAAAATAGCTCAAGGCACTGAGGAGTTCCCATGTTATGGGAAACTGATATATTTTCTTTGACATTTCCTGAAAACCTAATGCATTTCAACTTTTAAAACAACACACCTGGTTGCATGAGGAAAATAAATGTCATATGTAGTAACACTGTGGGGTAAGGCTCTTGGCAAAGAGGGAGCTACGACAGCAGCGTAGCTAACCGAAGCTCTGCGGCTTGCTAAGGCAATGCTATTGACAGATTTGAGACGCAGACGGTACTGGCAGCCAAAAACTTTGGTGTGAACCCAAACACATAAAAGAAAAATGTCCAGCATTTGTAAATACTATACAAAAAAAAAAAAAAAAGGAGCAACTGAAAACAAGACCGATAAACTGGTTTGCCATTTAAGTCCCTTTTCTAAGGCCACTTGAATAAATAGTAGTGTTTCATAAAATGTAACCAAGTTATTGCTTCAGACAGTCTCTGATGATCAAGGATGCTGTGTCAGTGATGTATATTTTAGTTGTTTTTTGTTCGTTTTGTTCTATTTGAGCAATACAAGCATCCCGTTTGCCTCGCAGCAAAGTTCTCACAGAACAACCATCTGAACGAGCTGGTTTGAGGCTGGGTTGGTAACCTCAAGGTATTCGCACCTCAGAGAGAAGTGGTAAACAATGGGCCTAGTCTGAGAGAAGAACACAGTAACAGTCAGAAATGTGTGGCTGATCCCCAGGATCGTCCTCCGGAGCGAAGCAGTCCTCCTGTGGATGACAGTTTCGATTTGCAGCTCGGTCTGGGAGCGATGCTCTTGGAAAACATTTGTCTGCGTTTTCTCTGCCTCATTGCAATGGGTTATCAAACACAGAGTCTGGCAGGATGGAAATCTTCAGCTTCTTCTCTGGCCAGCTGTATTCCTTAGGTAATTTTGACTGAACAAAAGGAAAAGGACACAAGAGGTGAGGCAGCTAAGCAAACCGAAAGTAAAAGATAAAGCACAAGGGTATTTTATTTTTATTTTTATGTTACCTCATCACGAGAGCCGAGCTCGTGTAAATCCCCCAGCATCTGCTCAACAAATTCTTCAGTCAGCAATATCTATGGGGGCAAAGGACAAACACCAATTAAATGCTTTGAGTGTAAACAAATCGCACCAAAACAACTCAGCCCGTCTTTGTGCGTACCTGAAGCCAGGGCCCATGCGCCGCGTACGGATGCTCTTCAGTGGCAAAAGCTCCTTCGACTCCAGTGGAGACAAACGTGATGGCCGTGTCTCCGTTGATGCTTTTATACGTGAAGTGTCTCCCGTGGAGTAACCTGCCCCTGCACACGATCAAATACAACGCAGCATGAATCCTTTAGTTCATCCGATTACGCACAGCTTCATCTGACCCAGACAAGTAGCAGGGCGTTTCTGCAAGTTCTGCGGCATAATCATTATTTTCAAGATTAAAGAAATAAGTGAAATACAACTTCTTCATTATTTTCCTCTCTCCCTCTGACTGCAGTATTTGTACATGCAGACTGCTGAATGTTAACTGTTGGCAGCTTTTAGTGATCACTATTTTATTCTGTTTTCAAGTCAAATCTCATGAAAGAAATATTATGGAAGTGAAAAACAATTATTTTGCTTTTACTTCCTAAACTATTTATAGTGAGACAACATCAAAAGCAGAAATTTAAGACCATACCACGCATGGCAAATGTTGATGCGTTTATTACTAAAATTGAGATAATTCATTTTTGGGGGCTAGAATAGCGAATTTAAACTATTTCCAGTGGTAAAAAGCTCTACCAATCTTCCATTTGACCCGAGTTTGAACCTGAACGCAGAGCGAACGCATCACTGGAAGTGTGCGACGAGAAGCTGAAGATCAGAGAGGTGGAAAGATGAGAGCAGCACCGGGTCGGCAGTCTGTTTACCGGCTGCATTTCAGGAGAGCTCTACCTTGTGTGTTCAGCTGCTCCAGCTGAGCAGACGGCCACAAAGCTGAAGGGAACAGCTGCTTTGACTCAGACTGGTTAATAGAAACACGTCGTAGTAAAGAGTCAAGATATCACATCGTTCCACAGAGAAACTGTTCTTTTTTGTAGTGGAGCTACATAGCAGTTATCATCGCAATGTCAATACTGGAACTGCAAAAAGCCTGCTTTGTCGCCTTAGTGGTCAGGCTAATAAACTGTAATTTGAGGATTATAAGCCTTTACTGTTATCGTATGTGGATTTTTACCGTTGAGTTTCAAAGGGACGGACTGCTGCGTGATGAAGAGGACGAGATCAAAAGTGAATTTGCCTTTAGACGAAATTGACATTGAGAGTGAAAGAGAGGCTGAGGAAGTGTGTGTGAGGCTGTTCAAATGTGACTGAAGTAGACGAAATAGTGTGCAGGAGGAAGATGAAGACGGCGATCGATTGCTTTTACTTTTTAAGCAGCTGTGCTACAGGTACTGTTTGGAAAAAGTATTCATGGTACACATTTCATTAAAAGTAAAAAAAAAATTATATTATAATAATTTCCAGTTGTGAGCTGAGAACGTTGCTCTGCCACGTAGTAGCATCATAAAGGAAAACAATGGCCTGATGTATGTTTTTGTAAACCACCATCCCAAAACTATTTCAAGTGGCATTAAGATGATGTGACCTTAGATGATCTAAGGGATATTATGTAATCTGCTGGGAACTTCTCATGCCATTAAAGCTGGAAGCCATCAGGACCGTCCGCATCAGTTTTTATCCACATGTAAACGTCTCATATTTGGGTGCTCTGTAGGGCGAGGGTGCCTGAAGCATTTTGGAAATGTGGCCTTTTAAGACATTTTTTTTGTTCTTTTGAGGTCTGCGCCCTTCTCTCTCAGATGCCGTCTTGTGTTTATTGGCCTGCAGTAGGCAGGGAGCCACATTGTTTTGGCTCAACCAGTTTTTGCTCCTGAAGCCACAGGATCTTTTCAAACATTTAAAATGACTGCCTGACTGGACTCAAACACTCCAGAGAAGTCACCCTGTGAGAGCTGCCACAATCCTGCCATGTTCAAAGACAGAAAGCCGTTTTTACTTTTAGCCAGGATGCCCGACCTAAAATGACAGAAACTGATCGATTTTGACTGTTTAAGCCGTTGTCATAAAATGTTGATCAGCTGAAGCTCCTAAGATTAAGATTAAAACCTAAAGTCACAAACTTTTTCAGCAGGAATTGTTTATGAATTGTTAGTAGCATATTTACTAGAAGGTGCTTAAACAAATATTTTGAGGTCATCTGCACTGCAGATTACATTTAAAAGCTGTAGATCAGGGGATTGTCTGTTCGGGTTGTTTTTCCTTTGTTTACCTTTGCTGTGGCTCATCACACCCGCTGTAGTTTCTGAATGTTCAATAAACGACAAAACTTGGACTAATTACCTCGTTCGTTTGTGAGCATACGTCACAACAAACATCAAATAGGACAAATATATTTCATTAAGTTTTAACAAATTCTACTAATTATATCCCGACTTCAGAAGATTTGCCTTTAGCTTTTCTGGGCTCTTTGGTTAGTTTCTCATATTGAGGTGATCAAACCAAAGTTCAGATCTACCATGACTGACTGACACCTGCTGGCGTCAGGTCTGCAACCAGCTTCTGACTGAGAAACCAGTAACCTCCCCCCAGTGTCAGAATCTCACTGAGGAAGAAACTGCATCAGGTTTTCTGTCACTTTATTATTTCTGCTACAACTGATGCATATTCGCATATAAAATAAGTCAATAGAGTTTAATTTGTAATTTTTATGTCTTTGTGTCATGAGGTAGATCTCAGGTGGCTGGTGAGAAAAAAAGTAGATCTTGCTCTCAAAAAGTTTGGGCACCCCTGCTGTAGATAAACACAAAGTCAGTAACGCGCTTTGAAGCTTCCAATTAAAAGGCTCAACTAAAGGGAAATTTCACAGCTTTTAAGGAGTCTGGACAGAGTTCAATTCCCTCTAGTTGCAATTCTTAAAGTGCATAATCAGTTTTCAACAATCCTGTCCAAATGTGAGTTTGCGATTTGTGGGACCTTTATGACAAAAAAAATCCCCCCAAAAACCCAGAGGGATTACTCTTTCCAAAAATAGTGCTGGAAATCTTGTCTCGGCTCACGGATGACATACTAGTTGTGTGTCTATCCAGTGACACATAACTTTATCTTAGGAAGTCGTTTTAAAAAGACAGCATTGTTTTTGTCTTGGCACACTTCAAACTGGCTGCTCTCTCTAAAACTAGTCTCTGGTCTCCCTCTAGTATTAAGAGTCCTACACAGAGAAAGAAATAGTTTATGAACACTCTTTCCAATACATCTATAACAATTCGTCAACAAAAAATATATATTTTGATTAAAAAAAAGAGAAAACTAGGCAACTAGGCACAACTGCACCTTTGCTCAATTGAAATTGATGTTATCTATAATCTCCCCAGAGTGTTTCCTTATTCTGAAATGAACCTTGACCCATTTTTTTCCTACATTTTAAAAATGGTGAATTAAGTGTGTGAGTGGTGTTGTTTCGGCCGTACCGCAGACAGAGGGGCAGCAGAGTGCCGGACTCCTGGTTGAATTTCAGATGGACGCTCTCCAGTTGGCGAGTTCGGACCAACTCATGAGGAACGATGGCTGCTGAGCTTTCACTCTCCAAACTGTCCTTCCGACTTCTAAAAAACAAGATAAATTGTAAGGGGGTGGGGGGTCCCAAAAGTGACAAATTTCCTGATGAAACAGTGGAAAAACTGTAGGGCGGGGCCGGGGGGCGAGGGAAGAGTATAGGAAATGGCAGGGCTTTGTCAGCACAAGGGAATGTAGACAGATTGCCTCACAATTCCTGTCATGGAACCCACTCTGCAGGAGAAACCCAGTTCTAGAGAAAGGAGGAAATGAACAGAGACAAGCCAACGTAATATGCCGGTATCTTGGAAACAATGGTGATATCAGCTCAGATGTCAGCGGGGTTCTGAGTCACTGTGCATGAAGGAGGTCTGTCTCTCTCTCTCTCTCTCTGGGGCCTGTTGAGCTGAGCAGAGCCCATGCAAGTGGGTTGGTGTGTGGGAGGAGAAACTCACTGAGCTCTGTCGTGGTTCTGCTTCTGGCTGCTGATGGGTGGCAAGGCCGCCTTGCTGTTAAACTCCAGTCCTTTTCTCAGGGTCTCTCTGATCTGCTCTGTGTCTGTTGAGTGGAATAAGAAAAGAAGAGCTATGAGCTACCGAAAGCCGCTTCGCGCCTCAGTGTTTTAGATTTGCTCCTCTAGTCTTTAGGAGATGCCGCGCCTTTGTTTGAGAGCCGGCGAGGCTGCGATCCGATGCAGATGGATCGGCTGTCCTCCTCGTCGTCTGGAGGTCGGCTCAGGTCGTCCCACACACACTTGGCACTCACGCCGCTCAGGTTAGAGCCTTCGGTTTCAATACCCTGGTCCACTCTCTCCTGCTTGGATGTGCAACAGACATACGCAAACATTAACACTAGCTTAGGTGAAACTCACACGGGCCAAATATTTTAGAAGTGCATCTCAAGAAATAAAAAAAATATATATATATATCATCAAAAAGTTACGATCGATTTTGTTCAGGAAGCGTAGCTCATTATCTGGGTTCATTTACACACTGATCGATATCGGTGGTTCGTGCCGACTGAAACTGAACGCCATCCATGTGAACAATTGTAATTATGAATGTGGCAAACTGAAACTGACTGTGCATGTGTGTGATATGTCAGGGAAGTAAAACTGGTCTGCTGATCTCTCATCCTGTAAGATGAGACAACAGCAGAAACATCAACAGCGCATTGCTTAGCCTGTAGCTTAACCGTCCCAGCTCCACGCTCGAGAAGAGCAAGCAGGTTTTACAGCAGCCGACGGGGATGTGAGAGGGGCGTCCCGTCAGCTTGTCAGTTCCCAAACCCACGGAAAAACCCCCCACAAAAAAAGCAGCTCATAAAGGCGCACGCGGGGTCAGTCTGACCTCTCTGAGAGAGTGGGAGGCTTAATTAAAGAGCGTTGTAACTTCTCAGGCATTATTAGAAGCTGCATGGGACCATTCTGAAAACACGTTTGTGTTTGTTTTCATGTTTAGCACAGACTGAAAAACAACTTCTTCTTTTTTTTTTTTTTAGGGAAATTTTACAACTCTGTTCATGTCACTGCTTTTATTCAGAATAAAGTCTGTCTTTGGTACCTTTGGCAGTGAGAGCAGGTGCCAACACCTGACTGGATTAATTCATTTTGTGCCCATATGAACGATTCATTCTGAATATTTAGTCTTGAATAGATTTCAACCCAATCAAGAAATTTTTGCGTACGTAGACACGGCTCAGCAGTTTCACCATGATTACAGAGGTTATAGGATTTTCTGAATTAAACATTTGTTGTTTTTTTTGCAACATTCTGATTTTCTGAAAATGTCTCTTTCAATTAGATGTAACTAGAAATACTAAAGATTAACTGACGTCAATGCGACTTACAGCGTATCGCTCAATGTGAGATGAACGTTTGACTTTTTGAATTAGATACTGGAAATAAATTAACTTTTTGATGCTATTCTAATTGATGAAGATGCACAAACAATTCCTTAATCTACTCTCAATTAATTTTGCATTCATAATCTTTTAAGAGCAACTGTATGTGTGCAGATTTGAATGAAACCTTACTTGTAGATGTGGATCGATTTCAAAAATGGTTTCCCCTCTCCTCATGTCAGTGATGAGCCAGGGGCCGCCAGCTCTGCAAACCAGACAATCAATATTAACCTCAAGTTAAACTCGAAAGTCATCAAATGACCAAAGTTTGCACTCCCGGCTCACAACACACTCAAAGTGTAAGTGATATGGATTGCTTTTCAATAGAAAGTTCGTTTAACAGGAGCTGATCTGAGCAAAACACTATCATTTAACAAAAGAGAACTCATAACACAATAAATACTTTTTTTTTTTTTTTTTTTACTCAGAACTGTGAATTTGTCCAGCTGTTCGGTCACAGTTTTGCAGAGCCAGATGATTTTTTTTATCCATTTCCTCACAAAATGAGTTCACATTGGCACTCACTACATTCAAAGTGTTTCATCACCAATACGGTGCTTCGTTTTGACTCATCAACACCCACGTTACTGAAAGAAGAGCTTCTCTGTCTTTCAGCTTTAACCTTTTTTAGTTATGAATCAGTACATTAAATTGGCGTCAGATCATATTTTAACTCATTAGCGACGCCGCAGTTATTTTTGTCGGGGTTGTTGCGCTCAAATGATCTACCAGCACGACGCGTCAGATTCATCTTATGAGATAAATTAACACCCACACTCGCTTCACTTCAGCAGCTCAGACTTCTCTAGGTAAATGTTAAAGTTCAGATTAAATATTTAAAGGTCTAATTTATTGATGCAGGAACCTAAAGCTGCAGCACAAAAATGTACGCATACCAAGCACATACCCAGCTGCAATTAGGTTGAATTTATGTTTATAAGGGACTAATTGTTTTTCATTAATTAATAATGTAGCAACAAAGTATTAACCTGAACAGTGCAGCAACTCTGATGGAATGTTTCTCAGGTTCTCTAGAATAAAACCTGCATCCTATATTTTCGTATTCCTCAAACAGCATCTAGTGTAAAATATTTTTGCAGCCCCAAAAACTGCTTAGGGAGAAGTCGGACAAGACTACAAAGAGTTCCAGATTCCCATTAAGTGTGCATGCACGCTTCCCAGATATTCCAATATAATGAGGTCGCATTTAATCTGCAGGAAGCAGGTTCAGTCCTAAAACACCCCGCCCAACAATCCACGGAGACTTAAATATCTACTGCCAAATGTCCTGTAGCAGTTACTTCAAGCCGCCTTTCAACATTATCTCAAGAGCTGAACAGATTACTTTTGCACTTCAATAAGACAGTAACTATTATGCAAACAAAACTCCTTGCTTTCAGCAGCTGCAGTTAATTTGCAATTTCAGCCTCAAAAGTATTATTCAAAGAAAAAAAAAAAAATATATATATATATATATATATATATATATATCAACATTTGTTTTGATACCAACATCCATAATTCTAAGAGCTGATGGCGCTGTTTTCAAGAATCTGTTTTGATTTAACGTAAACGTAAGCAAACTGCATCAAATTCTATAAACCAGACAAAAAGTTATGCAATAAATCAGGATAATGACTGGGATTTTTCCCCCCCTTCAACGGTTTTACTTACACTTTGATTCCACGCATCAGCTCCAGGATGCCCTGTCCATTCCACTGCTGGGACGCCTGCAGCTCTTCCGCGCACACGCCCACAATCTATAGAGAGCGCAGAATTTCATAAAGTGTAGCAGGAACTCATGCAGCATGCAGAATGTTGTTTATCGTTTTCTTCCCCTTTTATTTACTGGACTTGATGCACCTAACTTGAGGAAAAAAAAAAAAAAAAAAAAAAAGCAATTCGAACTGTGCATCTCCACTGAACGTTATGAAAGTCTCGTGTCAAAACAACATTTTTTTTTTATGTATTTCTGGGAGCTACAGAGGTTAAATCTGCTGACACTCAACTCTGTCTGGATTCAGGAACCTTGTACTTCTCAAACTAAGTGCTATCTTTTCTTCTGTTGGATAAAAGGAACGGCAGCCAACGTTTGAAAGCACTGAAAGCAATTTGTCCCAATCTCCTAATTAAGTACGACTCCCCAGCCTCTTCTCAAGGCCAACGGTGTATGTATAGCGAAGTTGTTTATTTATGTGAGGTATTGAAACCCACCTGGAGAAAGCTCACGGTACCAAACGGAGTCTGGATGGGGTGCATCTGTGGGTCTTCAGTAAGCAACATGTGCTGAATGCGAGACTCGCTGTTATCCAGTGGACTGTGCCATGACACATGATCCCCGCTACAAAATGTGTTTTCTACAGAAACATTAAAAAAAAGGAAAAAAAAAAACAGAGAACGTATGTTGCATAAAGTGAGAATTGCACTCATCCCTATTCTTAATTCCCTTAAGGTGATAAAGAAAGAGCAACAATAGAAGAAAAGTGTGAGAAAAAAGAACAAAAAGAAGTGAAAACAGGGATGAAACTGGGGTCCAGATGTGAAATGAAATGCATTAAAAATGGATTTCCATCTGACTGAATCCGTCTACTTGGGAGGTAATAAACACCCTGTCTAGAGAGGAAAGAAAAAGAAGATGGCCAAGAATCAGCATTGAGTTAACTTAAGGGCCCACCCACAAGCAAATTGACCCCAGCTGGAAAGCAACGCAAAGATCCTTAGATGTCCTCTCTTTCTGCAAGACTTTATCTAACTTCTCTCTGGTCGATAAATTCAATTTTTGGACATTAAGTCAATAATTGAACTGAAGCACCAATTGGGGGGGGAGGGACACAGGCAACAAGACTTCCTGGGAATCTAAGGTGCTGATGACTCTTCCATCCAGGCACATTGAAATATATCAGTCTAAGAACATATTCTGGAAACATGCATATAGAGGCAGTTCTAAAATAAAAATTATCCAGTGAGTCTAATAATGGTTGAGCAAACACAAACAAATTAAAGTCCAGAAGATATCGTTGATTACTTTAAAACTGCAGGAACATTTTTCTTTTTTTTTTTTTTCCACTGTACTCTTCATCAGAGCCATTTTGTAAGATTTATGAATCTTACCTGACTGGAAGACGTAGCGAGCCAAGCCTTGCATGAGTTCTGCAGGCCACGTTGGAGGTGCTGTCTCTCCCGCTTCTCTCTTGAGCCTGAAGGTAAGTTCAAACCCAAATCCGCTGGGCCCGTCCGTTCCTGTAAATCTAGGGGGGGGAAAGAAGTGGCCTAAGAACAACAGTAACTCCATGTTTGTTTAATCTCAAGTGCAAGGGATTGCTAAAGTCACTATGCATGTCAAAATCAATAAACTGCTATAACAATAGGTGGTTATTATGTAAAGTGTTAACATGTTAACCATTTCTCCCCACACAAAATGCAGTCGTAAAAAAAACAACAACAACTCATAAATTAATAGAAATAAATTATGTCAAATGTAGAAAAATAGCACAAAAAAATGAACTTACTCGTGGACCCGATTATCTCCATACAGGTCACTGAGTCCAAAGCTTACATAGTGCCAGTGTTCCTGGACGTCCTGAGCCGCACAGCCCGTGTTCCTGTACATGCTGATATAGTCTAAGGGGTCTGGTCCACCAAGCCTGGAAAAGGAAAACCACTGACCATGTAAAATTTTCTTTTTGTTGTCAGTGAACTGAGCTTCTACCACAGCCGATTTCTTCTTTCTAAACGCTGTAAACCACAATATGAAACTATAAGTAGGATTAAATAATTAAATATTGCTTTCATATGTAGTGTTTGAACCAAGTTTATGTCGTTTTGAACTTGTTTTCTAAGGATATTCCTGGATGTTTGTTAGCGTAACTGTAAACGTTAGCATTGTGCGCTAAGCTAACTTAATGATATTTCTTAGCCTTTGACACACAAACTTTTCCTACTATTTGCTAGAATATCTACTTATGAATATAACTCAGACCAGCTACAGCATATCGTGTTACCTACCAATATTTAACAATGGCAGTAACTTGCAGCGGGTTGGCCTGATCGGGGTAAAGTCGCCGACATTCCCCATATATAGCCTGCAGTCCGGGAGGAAACAGCGGCACCAGCCCGTGGGCTTGCGCACCACTGTTAGGCCGTATTTCATCCATACTACGGCCTCGAATAAACCGGGTTGTTCTCTAAAAGTAAAACCAAAGTGTATGGAGTTTGTATCGGTTCTCCCCGATGAACAAAAGTAGTCAAAACTACACCATAAAGGTCCCAGAAACAATAGTGCGCCCACTTTGCTAAACTCTTGTTGCTCCTTCCACACAAAAAAGCTCTAACAATTGGTTGGACAAGGATATTACGTCATAATACTGACGGGAAGTTTTAACCAATAAACATGGAGTATAGGATTAGTGGCTGATTATGATTGACTGATTCATTGTGAGTGGGCGTATCCAGTAGCAGGGTTGGGATGGTGGGTTGGGCATTGAACGTGTAGAAGCTTCTCCTGAAACTGTACGTTGTTATTCGTGGTGGTCGAACTGATGCTTTCATAAAGTATATTAAGCCCTCTTTATTAATTGTAAAACAGAAACAACTTCCCTTTTTGGAAGTTCAAATTAAACATTAATTAAACGTGTTAGCAAGGAACACAATATTGCGTTATAATATAATTATAATTAATTAAAAATAATGTATAATCATATTATAGGAAATAAGAAGCAGTCATGTTCAGTAAATTGAAATATTATTTAATATTAACTAACTCAATTCACTAAGTGAAACGCATTAACTATGCATAATGGTGTTTTCAAGCCTTTATTTATTTATTTATTTTTCTACAGTTAATAAAAGTACAGTTTAAGATTAGACCAATAAAAATATATTTTTACAGAAATGTGGCCTTAATGAGAAAGTATAATTTTTGATTACTACTGTAAATATATTCTAACATCGCATAATAGTACTGTAGATACGTATATATAAAATAATTGTCATAACTGACAATATGATGACAATTTAGATGATTAATAGTTCGTGTTATATTAAGAATCTATCAAATTTTGTCAATAAAAAATTAATTATGCTATTTGGCTTTTTTAAGTGATGCATTATTATAACTTTTACATTTTTATATTAATTAAATTATTTATCCAATGTATATTAAATTTTGGATGTATACCTGCAAATTGTCCTGGTTTATTCTTTAGGTGATGTTGTGAGGTGGAGTTGTCAAATAAAAAAGGAACTCACAAGAACCTCAAAACTGCTCCTTTTTTTAGCATGTTACTTAATGTTTTACTACACACAGATGCTTAATGTATAAATAGCTGTAATAATGTTTAAAGGAAATCACACAGAATATGAGCCACATTTTATAATAACTGTTTGTGATTATTCCTAAAGTGAATAACGTTTAGAAAAAAATACCAATCCGAATATTATTGTAGCTCGGCCAGTGTGACAGCATGAAGATCCCAGCATAAAGATCATCACGTTGTAATGATACCATGCATATATATGTATAAAAAAATAAAATTCTTGAGTCAACATAAGGTTTACATATTCAGTTTAAATAGTACCAGAATGATTAGGACATCTCTTGTGAAAGTACAGATCTACGCAAAAATATTTTTCTGGCAGGCCATCGTTTTATTTAAGATAAATAAAGACAAGAAGGAAATAGATTTTTTTTCTTTAAAATATTTTATTTAAAAAATATCAAGTCCCAGGGATAAAATTAACAACACATACACAAGTTAAAGAAGTTATTTCACACCCTTCCTTCCTTGATCAGAGTTGATTGTGGTGTACGCGTTTCACAAAATCTTTTACTAACAATCCCAATTAAACTTTGTGTAAATGAAACATAGGGGGTCAGACTTTGTGTGAAAAGTGCTGCACCAATAAAGATTAGATGAGTTGCTTCCATTTAATTGTTAAAATGAAACCTGAATAAACCCAAAATTAAACCCTCACTATGTTAATTCTTTGCAGGTTGTTTACGATGAATTTGGTGTGTTTCCATCATGCATTGATTATTCATGCAGTGGTGCAAGAGAAACCACATTTCCTATGCCACATGATAAATGGGGTATTCAAATACAGAGTACAACCCCCGTGACTGACGTCCATCTACAGCGTAGCTCGATCTGTGTGAAATAAACTGTATTCAAGTTGAACAATCACTGTCTCCACCTCTGATTTTGTTTAAACTGTGATCAGAATGGTAGAGAATTGTGTAGGTTCACAGTGATGTACACACGGTTAAACAAAAAGGTCACAATTCCTATGAGTCAAATGCCCTGAGAGAAGTACTTTGTAGTAAATGGCAACAGCTGAAACTGTAGCGGCAACTCATTTCGTAAGAGCAGGACTAACTTCTTTGTGGGTGGAAGTGAATAATAAGGTGAAACTACAATTAATAACCTTCCAATGTGAAACATTCAGCTTTGATCTCATGATGTGGCAGTCCTTACGTTATGATTCAGGAGGATATTATGAGTATAATGTCGATATTTCCTGTTTCAGTTTTCATTGCGTTTGGTTACAAATTAATAACGAATATTCTTTCCAGCTACGGTGTTTTAGAAACTACATACATTTCTCAATGCTCTTGTTTTTAAACAGGTTTTTTTGTGTATATTGTTTCATCTGCAAAAACAGCTAGCAAGAGCAATTTTCAATTTACAAACACCTCGTAGTTCATTGTATTTACAGAGTCCTTTGCGAACTTCGTAAAACTTTGTAAACAACAGATTAAATCAGTTGTAATTTCTGCTTACATATTTTACCTGTTGTCACAAATTATAATCATAGTTGTCACAGAATTCAATCCCAAATACCGCAGGAAAAGCAGGAACAACACATATGAGGAAATATTGCATCATACAACAAAAAGAAATAAAATGAAATACAATTACATAAAAACCAAATGTTACACACTTTTCTGAATTGCAACAAAAACATTCATTATTTACAATTATTATTCAATTCCAACTAACTGCCAGGAAAATAACTCAGGATTTTAGGCAACTTGAACTTCCAGTTCAAACACACAAATACAAAAATAGTCTGTATTCAACACTTACAGGCCTCCCAGTATGAATCGATTCAGATGATCGTGAAAGCTGCTGTTGGACTCCGTACGTGCTCGACAAACCAGTACCAAGCCAAAAGAACTGGATCCATAGATGACATCTTTACATGCCACCATCTATGGAATTCAGTTCTCACAGCGGAGCACTTATCAGCACGGCGACTTCAGAGGCCTCCTGATCCTCGAACGGCAAACCTGTCTGAAGAAATTCATATGTCAGTGTCAATTTGTTTAGATCACCACTCAGTCAGTCAAACACAGCAAAAACATCACAGAGTATGTATAAATAACCGCAACATTAACTTCAGAGTTAAGCAAGAAAAAGGGAGTAAGAAGCTTGTTACATGGCGTACAGAATGACAAAGCGCCCATCCCCATTTCTCAAGAACAGCAGTGTGAGGATGAGATGATAACATCAACGCAGCTTCTTCCATGGTAAGATTGAGCAAGAGATGATTACTGTGGTGACTAAACTCAGCCTCACGTAGCTAATAATGATTGTTAGTGGAGTATTTATAGCAAATATAGACTTCAAAGCTTAGGATATGTTTTATCAACGTGAGGCGCAAAATTGAAATGTTCATGAACAGTGTATGGGCCAGACCTGATTAAATAGATTCCATTCTGGAGTTTGGAACGCCCCATTTCGGGACCTCAGACTTCTGCTAAACTCAAGTGTTCCTGGAAGCTCCGCAAAAACGAAAGTTTGTCCACTAACTGATGAGGGTCATGGTGCTCCGGTCAGGACATGAAATGAATAATCAGTTACACTGCCAGGAAAGGAACTTGCTGTGGGTCAGTGTTTTACAGACACACACAGTGTAAGTAAATTAGTTTGATATTAACTGGGCTGCTCTGAACTAAGCTAAAAACGTCTCATCCAAGGCCTAGAGTCAATATTGATAGAGACGGTCGAGATAAATGCTAATCTCAAAGTTACAACATTGATGATGGTTTATGTATTAAAGTCTGTGCTCTCTGAGGGTGCAGTACAGTATAGAAAGCCTTCCAAGGAAAACCACACCTGAGCACATTTGGGAAATTCACACCTTCCTGGCAGTTAAACAAGGAAGCAACCGGTTCTGCGGGCCGGCTCCTTGACAAGAAACATCCATTCATTAAGAAATAAACAAGAATTAATAAACGAAACGATAAGAGTTCCTGAACACGTTCAAAAACTGTTGCATTTGGTTTCGTTTTTTTTTTTAATTTTTTTTTTAAATAGAAAATCTACACTAATATCCATATCAAAATGTAACAATGTTGGATGTTTTACCACGTACCTGAAAAATATCTTCCCAGATCCTGGCTGTATCAGAAAAGTTCTTCTTCATTAAAACCAGGTGTTTTCCCGTGTGTACACACACACACACACTTCAGGAGTCCTTGTTTGTTCCATACACACATCCCTTCAAAGATTCACCTGCTTTTCCATGACCTCCAACTCCCAAGAAAATATGAAACAGTGCCTGACATTCGCAGCAAAAGTGCTTAAATACGGACCTTTCACTTCACCCATCAAAACCTCCCTCCTCTCTGTTTTTCATACACTCCCTCTGTACGGTAAGCCTGACAGTCACTTCCCAGTAAGAAGGAAGCAGTGGGTGTGAACAGCACGCCCCCTCACCATGAATCAACACATAATAGTTTCTGAGGAAAACCATCTGACTTGCCCTGCCCCCTGTTCCCATAAAGTAAGCAGGGGAAAGGCTGTGTCTACTCGAGGAACCAGGAATTCCCCCGCAGGCCACAGAACAGCTGTCAAGATGAGAGGAGATGACGAAGTGAACACACTGGAAGTTTGTCGGTCAGTTCATGCAAACAGAAACCGTGCTAGGACAACCCTGTGTAACATACTTGTTGAGTGGCATTTAACGCATAAATGTATTTGCACAATAGGGAACTGGAAAGTCTGCTCATACCCTCGTGGGTGTTTAACAGTACAGTCATGTAAGAGCTGCTGACTTAATGTTTCCAAAAGATTACTGTAGTTCTTTGAGCAATAGCTGCAGGGATGAATGTGAAAATGCACATACTCAGATGGATTTCTACCAAACTGTATGAAAAACTAGGTCTCGTATAACTTTGTTTGCTGTTCAGACAAAGTCAAGCATGATAGTGATGTAATGACTTCTTCATAGAGTCCTATTGTTCAGCTTAGTAAAGGGGGAAAAATAGCTGATTTCCTCATCCTCCTCAACTGCCTATCTTAAGTACAAACAACTAGTCTGGACTTGATGTGTTCCTCCTCAAAAAAATCCCTCTTAGATTTATTCACTGGATTTCCTTGTTCTCTACCAAAAGGGGATTCCAGATAGTTGGGAAACTATCACGTAGTTCCATACCCCATGCTTGGCTACACGTCTATGCACATTTCCTGGATCCTTATA